CGGTCCTCTGCATTAAAATTCCTCACTCATCACTAGGGTGGCTGTCAAGAATAACGATAGCTCTGCCAGCCCTAGCTGCCGCTGCTCGCGAGTGCAAAACACAAAACACACATACATACACATACAGATACAGGTATACATACACATACACATACACATACATATATATACACACATAATCACGCTTACACACATACTTATACACATACATTCACGACATACATATACACATATATTCACATTCCACACTCTGCTTTTTGGAGGTCAGTGTCAGTATTGATCGATGCTCTGCTCCAAACCCACAATGACGCAACATTTGGCTGCGTAGAAATCACATTTTATGACGCGCCAAAACTTAGCTGAGTATCTTTTTATTTGCAGGCAGTTGATACGAAATGCGATTTCCGTCGTATTCGCCCCTTTGCGACCGAACAATGGATGTTTCGACTGGACAAGGATAAGGTGAGTATTTTATTATTTTTTAATGACCAAAGCCCTCCCTCCTTACTGATGAGTTCCGGGGAGGGCTAATTAACAATTTGGTATCCGTCTAAGGTTAGGAACGAAACGGACGTTCCTTTCTTATTAGTTTTTTATTTTAATCATTACTTTTCATATAATTTTGTGGTCCTTGTCTTCTTTCCTTTTGTTTTTTTCTATTTGTATATGCCAGTAACTAGTAGTAACTCGAAGGTCTCCCGATTCTACTAGCTACTGGTACCTTTTTGGGTTACATATGTACATGTTTTTTCTATATTCATTGTTGAGGTACTTTGTTTACCTCTCAGCCCAGTTGGGGCTGCTCTTCTTGTTTTGGCCAATTGGGCCGCACTGACGTATAGACAGTTTTTCTTTTCTACTCATTCATCTCTATACTACCAACTTCCTCATCATGATTTATTTTATTACATGCTTCGATAAAATTCATCAAAATGTTTTTCTAAATAGGATAAAACGTCATTTTGATTGGAGTTTCTGGTTTCTTACTGCACCAATCGCTTTTTCTGAACGGGTTCATCTTCGTCATGATCCGAAGTGCGTTTTTTTTTTGATGTAGACGGACGATCCTAAATTTTATATTAGACTAGCTGGCTTACCCGGCTCCGCCATATGTTCCGAATAGAAAATTCCATTTCTTAACCGATCCGGACCAAACTTGGCACACATACACTTCGGGCCCCGGCGGGTGTCACAGTCCACTTTTCGTTATCGATCGATGACGAAAAGTAGCCTATGACACCCGCCGGGGCCCGAAGTGTACGTGTGTCAAGTTTGGTCCCGATCGGCTCAGAAATGAAATTTTCTATTTGGAACATACGTACACACATACAGACAGACAGACAGATATACAGAAAGACATACAGACAGACAAATAGACATTCAGCTTTATATATAAGATATAGCAGTTTATTGGAAACTCTACCTACTTGTTCGTCATTCTCTTTTTCTTCAGCATGATCCTCAGACAATTCCTGATTAGTATGTACACTTTTTTTCAGTTGAATATCAGGCAGCACCAACGATCCTCTCTTGATTTCCCCCTTCTGAAAACATAATCATAAGTTCGTATCATTTATCATTGGAGTTTAATTTACCTGTAAAGATTCTTTTTCTTTTTTAGATAGAAGCTGATCCAATGGTAATCCTGACCGTTGATCAATGTCAATATCCAACAATATTGCTGCAATGGCGGGTTTGACGGGCTGACAATGAAGTAAGTTCTTAAATATACTAATAGTATCGTAGACTAAACCTACCTGGTTATCACCAATCTTCAGTAATCCTTATTTCAAAGTTACTTCTATACATTTTTTGTTGATACGCTTGTATTCGTCCTTGATTATTTTGCGATTGTACAGCCTAAAATTACTTTATAAACTCGAATAACATAAAGTAAACATACCCTAAAAGTTCTTGGTCCGCCAAGGTAATCGTTTTTTTCTCTCGAAATCTTAATATCAGTCCCGTTAGTGTTGTTGTATTCGTAGAGGCTTTTCCGGTCGTCATAAAAAATTTCCAGAAGTCGTAAGTTATGCGTGCCTAAATAAGGCATATCAAAAACTTACAAACACAATCTACTTTCACTTACACGTATAACCAATAAGCCACCTTGGTTTCCAGCAAGGACAGGCCAACTAAAAGGTGAACCTTTGGTGTACCTTTAAGAAACAATTTGAAATAGTTGTTTATTATATAAAACACTTACTTCTACATATCACTTGAAAAGTCCTCTAATAGTCTGTCTAGTTTCCTCCTGCGTGGGTTGGGTAAGCCTGTAATCCTAACCCAATCTATAAGCGCCTTTTTGTTGACATTTTCTTGAAATTGTGCCAGTTTCTTTTGTACGTCTTCCGCCGATGCCATTCCTGTAAATAAATAACTAGAATACTTATACGAAGGCAATGCTCAAATCAGAACACGTGCTAATGATGATAGATAGATATCCCTATGACGAATACCGACTCTCACATAGATGTATGGCCTAAATTTGTCAAGATCTACAAGAATATGGTACAATATATGTCTGTAGCAATCGCCACAGGACATAATACAAGGACCTTTTAAGGTTCTTTAGGTATGTAGCCAAGTATGTTACTACCAAGTACCTTACTACTCCTAAACTCTTCCTTTTATGCATTACACTAACTTTAAAGTTAGTTAGGGTATCTTCTAGGGGGGTTAGTATTTTTCATCGTAATTTTTAGTCCTTTACTAACCCATAACCATTCCTTGAAAAGAGGGCCATACCTCTTGTTCCCAAAAAATAGGGGGGCATTTGATGGGTAACACCAGTAGGGGTAGGCTAAGGGGGTGTTCTACGACTCCATTTGCCCCGTTTATCTCCTTTACATATTCAATAATTATTCTTTGAAACACCACCTGGGTCCGCCGTAAACCCTGCAGCAGCCCTGCTTTATTACTATCTCCCTGGCTACATTTCGGTGTAGGCCTGCCCTTTGTAGTCTATTGGTCTGCAAAAACTATAAATTACGATGTTACTATTTCAGGTTTAGTTCGTTCAAAAGAATGAGGTAAACAATACATATTAGGTTGTCCGGAAATTAATGTCCGTTTTTAATTTCAACCGCAACAAGTCATACATTTTTCATTCCTGAATAGCTTTCAAGATATCATTCGATAGAGCAAAGCAAGCTCTACAAGAAGGCTGTCTTGCCTTAGCAACAGCTCTAATCCACCTCGAGTTTCGGGCCAAAAACTAAAAAGATTAAACTGTCCGAAAAATCAAGAAAAATCATAATTCAGTTCGTAAGAATTCCTCAAAAATTCTAACTTGCTCACGTAAACACTATCCACATAGGACATATATGTACGCTATTGCCGTATCTTTTCCTCTGTTAGAAATCGAAAAAACGAAAATTTTCATGCTTTTGCAAAAGTAATGCTGTGTGTTCCCACATAAGTAGATGTATACTACACATCTGTAGAAGTAAAAACGTGGATTTTCAGCTTTTTACAAGCTTTAGTTCTCGAGAAATTTGAATTTTAGCTTGGACCACCTGACTAATAAAAGCTAAATTCGATATTTCTCGAGAACTAAAGCTTGTAGAAAACTGAAAATTTACGTTTATACTTCTACAGATGTGTAGTACACATCTACTTATGTGGGGACGACACAGCATCACTTTTGCAAAAGTATGAAAATTTTCGTTTTTTCGATTTCTAACAAAGGAAAAAATACGGCAATAGCGTACATATATGTCTTATGTGGATAGTGTTTACGTGAGCAAGTTAGAAATTTTGAGGAGTTCTTACGAACTGAATAATGATTTTTCTTGATTTTTCGGGCAGTTGAATCTTTTTAGTTTTTGGCTCGAAACTCGAGGTGGATTAGAGCTGTTGCTAAGGCAAGACAGCCTTCTTGTAGAGCTTGCTTTGCTCTATCGAATGATACCTTGAAAGCCATTCAGGAATGAAAAGTGTATGACTTGTTGCGGTTGAAATTCAAAACGGACATTAATTTACGGACAACCTAATATGTACTTGATAATTTCGGAAATAAAATATTTACTAACATAAACACTTCTGCTACATGCAACAGTAAAAATGTAATCTATTGCATAACTTGCTCAGATTGCAATAAGCAATATGTAGGACTAACCCCCCTAAATTTAGAAGTAGAATGAAAGAACATGTGTATCACATTAATAAAAACGATATTAACATATCTACATATAATCACTTTAAACACAAATGTACTAACAGAAAATTTATTTTCTCCATTTTAGATAATTGTGAAAGCAATGATGATAAGTCAATATTAACAGATAAAGAACTCTTTTGGATAAAGCTTCTAAACACTGCATATCCTTTTGGTTTAAATGACAACATCAAAGGATATGGAAGCATATACAATATAGATAATCCTTTACAACATAAGAATAATCATCCATATTTTGCCTTAAGTATCACCAAAAATAGACACAGAAGCAGTAGACGAAATAAGAATAAAAATAAGGAAACAGTTCATGACTTCATCCGAAAAGTCAATAACATGGACTCATTGCCTTGCTTATTCACTTATATTAACTCTCTTAAGAAGAATTTTATTTTGCAATTGATCAGACTAACCTATGATCCAAAATTCTTAGAATGTTTTGTTGATGAAATTAGATTATCAGTACTTGTATACTTTGTAAATATCAGTTTGGAAGTAAGTCAATAAAACAAACCTACGATAAGGATAGGAATGTAAATGTAACAACTTACTATATCCATAGCATTTTAGATAAGATTAATTTCAACAAAGTTCTAAATAATCACTACATCAAAAATATCATTAATGATAACAATCAGTATAGAACTAGAATAGCTTTTCGATACAAACCACCAATATCGCAAAAGATATTCAATTATTAGGTTGTCCCGAAAGTTTTGTCCGTTTTTTCAACCCATCATAAAAACACGTGGAGCGAAGATAGAGAAGCGCTCTAAGCACTACCCGACGCATCTTTTCCTCCTCTTTTTAACTGCCATGCTCCCATTTCGATTACTCTTTTGCTTACTGAGATAAGGGCCAAAATTTCGAACCCGTGGTTTTTACTATGTCCAAGTTTGGCAATTTTTCACAATCTTCATTTTCAACTTTTGGAAGTCCATTGATAGCGCTCAGATAGAGTAAACAAAGGGCAATGCAATGCAATTTTTTGGCTTGTCCAGCTGGCATTTCAGTATTTTTAAGATAATTTTTCCAAAAGTCTTCACTTTTGGGAATTCCCAAAATACAGAAACGCCTCGAACACTAACAAATCATCGGATTTTGAAGCTTTCAAATTCAATTACGATTATTCACTATTTTTACAAGGCAACTGAGCGTTTACAGCCTCGAAATATAAGATTTCGCATTTTACGGTACACGCTTGGGGCGGGGTCAAATTCAATAATTATGGAAATTTTATCGCTAAAGACTCCACAAATTGAAGGAAAAATACACTCACTGGAAAGAGGAGAAAAAGTTGCATAGAATGACACCTTAGTTGTGCGCCGTTTTATGTTCTATGGTTCATGGCATCACCAAAATTGGGATTTGATAGCATCAGAAAAATAAATCTAAAAAATTTTCAAGGCTAGCTATAGATACCGCAAAATTGCATTGCATTGCCCTTTGTTTACTCTATCTGAATGCTATCAAAGGACTTCCAAAACTTGATAATGAAGATTGTGAAAAATTGCCAAGCTTGGACATAGTAAAAACCATGGGTTCGAAATTTTGGCCCTTATCTCAGTAAGCAAAAGAGTAATCGAAATGGGAGCACGACAGTTACAAAGAGGAGGAAAAGGTGCGTCGGGTAGTGCTTAGAGCGCTTCTCTATCTTCGCTCCACGTGTTTTTATGATAGGTTGAAAAAACGGGCAAAACTTTCGGGACAACCTAATATAATAAATTACTAGGAACATTAGATATGAATAAAATACTCAATATACAGGATGTCCGTAAAGTATGTATACACTGTTTGATCGTTAATATCTTTCTTCCCAACAAATCTTTTGCCTTGCTTCAGGTACCGTTTTGTAAAGCTGGCTTCAACTTAGATTTACAGTATGGAGCGAATCACCCATCGCTCTTCACTACTGTAGGATTACGGTAGAAACTTGAAACCTATGGTGCCAATGTGGAAAAAGCTGCCGTCTCAAAATTTTTCAAAAAAATGTGAATACTTGTGTAATAGGGTTTTTATGGACGCTGAGTTCAATACTCAACTATTCACAAGATTGCGAAGCTTTCTAAACGGTGTAACCGCACTTTTTAGGAACATTGAAAAAATGGCCGCTACCTCTTAACCGGCATAACTCTTCAATGCAGCATCATAATAAGTTAGGAACTTTACATTTAGAACCAACAACTCTGATTAGCCTATTGTGAAAGCTTTTAGGCTGTTTTGCTTCCTTTCTAAGGCAAAATATGGCCTTTTATGGCTCAAAACCCTCTTTGAAGTTTCTACCGTAATCCTACAGTAATGGAGAGAGATGGGTGATTCGCTCCATGCTGTAAATCTAAGCTGAAACCAGTTCTACAAAACGGTACCTGAAGCAAGGCAAAAGACTTGTTGGGAAGAAAGATATTAAAGGCAGTAGACAGGCAAATGGACCCCTGTCAGATTTTGGTAGTTTCGGGTAGTGGACCCCCCAATTACACCGTAGCCCCAACCCCAACTTCCAGTTGATGCGCTAAGTCCTGAAAAAAGCGCTTCAAACT